ATGTTGTTTTATTACTATGTAGAACACATATTTGTAGTAAAAGTTGCTAGCAGTACAGAAAGTAAAATGTGAAAGTCTTCTCCACCCCTCCAAATGGCCCTGCCCAACTCTCCAGCAGGAAACAATGTTGCATTTTCTTATGTCCTTCTAGAAATATCTGTGTATATCCTAACCATGTATGTGTATCTGCCTTGCTTTTTTTTATAGCTGAGCCATCCTGCCACCTCATCCTGGCAGCTCAGCGGCAGCTCAGCTCAGGCCAGGACTCGAACTGCTGTTGCTCAGAGCTTGCACTCTTGAGCGAGCTCTTAACTAACTGAGCCACTGGGCCAGCCCTCTGCCTTGCTTTTTTAATGAAACGGATTCATACCAGATAGGCTGTTCTGCAGCTAGGTTTTATTTACACATAAAGATGCACTTTGGACTTCTTTCCATAGCAATAATCCTCATCTAACTTATCCTTTTTAATTGTACAGAATACCCAATGTGTGGATATGACAGTTTCATTCCCCTAATGAGAATTTAGATTGTTTCCGGTTTTCACTGGTACAAACAGTGGTGCAGTCAATACCTTTATTTATCCGTGTATTTATCTTTATACATTGTTCAAGTACGTCCAAAGGATAAATTTTCAGTAGAATTGCTGTAGGTCAGAGGATGAGGGTATTTTACATTTTGACTAGTGGTACCATGTTGCTCCCTTAGAAAGTTGAAGCAATTTGCATTTCAAACAAGTTTAACTCCAAGAACAACTGAGACTAGAGACTCTAAGAGTGTAAGTAACTTGACCCAGGTTCCCAAAGTTAGTAAACTAGCAGAATCAACTTTCAAGCTCAGACCTACCTAGCTATAGATGTTCCGGCTACCATTGTAAAACATAATTTTGGCTTTCAAAATGCCAGGAAGTATTCCATTTTTTCGTATATTCTCACCACTCAATGAAGCAATAGTGATGACTCCTCCACTATAAATGCATAGCTCTGTATGGTTTTCAAAACCTTTTTACATTTTCATAGGAATCCTATGAGATCGACATTGATTATTATCCTGATTTTATACATGAGGCTCAAAGGAAAAAAACTTAAATTTTAAAATGTAATCAGAAGATGGTACTTGGCCAAAGGTCTGATAACCCCCACACTGCTAAAGCACTCAAGGCATTAAAATGCTCGTGGAAAAGGTGAAATAGGAAGAATGAGATTAGCAGCTTTGAGTGTGTTGATACTGGCATATTAAATTCATGACCAACAGGAAGTACACTAAAATATCTGGCCGTGGGCCCCAGCACACCTCAAGCCAGTACCTCAAGAATGGCTTTCTTCTGGTAGCCCCTGTGTATTATGGCCCTGGGGGAAACAGATGATTTCAACATTGCTGTCTTTGAAAACTGTTCATTATTTTTGTTCCAAAACTGAGTTTGAACTCCCACCATAAATACTGTGATCACTGCATTTGTAATCACAAAACATGACATGTATTACAATAGTTCCTTTTTATGTTGATTCTTCCTCCAGCTCATCGCCTTTCCTGTTCTAGCCTAGGCTCAGATCTTTTTCTAAAACTTTTCCCTCCTTTGTATCAGTTCTGAAGAAATAAGATCTTTTCCTACATGGCCTTGGGTCAACTCTTGACTTCAGGTTGAAACTTTGTCTTTCTGGTCACCTGAATTCCCACACAAATGCCTCCACTGAACTTAACCCATAGATGTTTCTTAGAATAATTTTCTTCCGGTTTTGCTTTTTATTCTTTTTTATTTATAATTCATAACTTATTTCTAAAGTCAATTTGATTGTTCACATTTTATGGTTAAAGAAACTAAATCATAGAAAGCTCACGTGACTTACGTCAAATACAAGCCAAAGTCAGAATTCAAATTATTATTTACCATCCACTAGTTCCTTCTTCGTTGCAAGGCGTCTCCAAGTTAAGAAACAGGTTATGTTCCAAAGATTCATTTGTCAGTCAGTTACTTGGCATTTGAACTGCATTTTACCACAGTTGGAGGCTGGGGGGAATGTTATAAAGGGTGATTGGCTCCCTCGGCTGGCCTGCAAAAATCTATTTAACTCTTATGTAACTACAGGATGATGCATTTGCAATAAAAAGAAGAGGGAATGATAGTTGTAATTCTGGTTACAAAGAAAAATAAAAATTATTTTTTCCTGAGGAAAAGCAGATTCAGTTAGAAGCTATGGGAATATGAAGTTGACAAGAGTCTAGAGGGGATTTTGGGGCACTTTGCGGGGTGTTAGAGGTTGATGGCACTGTTTTAAGCCCAGTTTCACTTGAAAACTTTGAGGATTTTTGTTGTTCGATACTTCTCACTAACTCCCCCAACAGCTGTGATTAGAGTCAATAAGGTTGATTGAAATAAAATACTTACCAAAAAATAGGATCTCTGAAACATGAACCAACCTGGGATGGTAAAAGCAAACCAACAAACCAGAGAAAGTCGTCCTTCCTCCCACCCTCCTGATGGAAAGGTCGAGGGGAGTCACTGGTTTTCCTGTTCACCCCAGCAGATCCCATCAGCTGGGGTAGCTTGACTGAGGTCTGGAGAGAATGCTTGGTAGTGGGTGGAGGTGAGAGGTGTGCCTTCAATGATTTCAGTGGAGAATTTGTACAGTGAGAGTTTCTAATTCTGGGAAATAACTGCATTTATCTCATGTAGCATTTGCTTCTTACATTATCTAGACTTGTCTTTCATTTAAGTATACAAACATCTTCAATTGCAGTTAACTTTTTAAAAAGCCTAATGCCTCTTTAGGTGGCCTTTAATTGATGTGTTTTATTGTTTTTAGAGCATTTGCATACAGCTTTTTCTTTGGTTAACAACAAAAGGGAGGATATAGCCTTCAGTAAACAGAAGCTTAAGTGAGTGGATCCTATACTGAGAAAGTGATGGAAGAGAGATTAAAGCGTGTGTCTCCTGGGGCAGATTGGGGCTCTGACCAGCCCCCCCACTCCCCTTCTCACCAGTTGGATAACACATTTAACTACCATTGCTTTGGGTTGGGTATATTATTTGAATGTATCATAAAACTATGTTTTAAAACTGTTTTACATATATTTCTACCCAGGAGTGTATTCAGTGAAGGAGAGAGCAACTGTATTTACTACAATAATTAAAAATCCCTCTTGATAGGTATTATAAAAGGAAGTTGGGATTGGCAGACTGCTTTCAAAAGGGGTGAGAGCAGTAACATCTACTTGACTTTTATATATGTTTTGATATTTATAAATCTTTATCATTTTTTATTTTTTTTATTTTATTTAGAGTCATTGGTTACACGTTGCTTTCATGCTACAATGTCATAGTTGACTCTTTTAAGGAGGGTGCAGCTCACAGTGGCCCATGCGGGGATTGAACAGTCAACCTTGGTGTTATCAGCACCACGCTCGAACCAACTGAGCTAACCGGTCACCCCCTATAAATCTTTATCTTTTCACTAAAACAATTTATAAATAAATTTTTTCATGTTGATATTAATTTTTCCATTTCTTATAGCTTTGATGTTTATATAACTGAATGGGTGTGTGTGTGTGTGTGTGTGTGTGTGTGTGTGTGTGTGTTCGTATTTGTGTGTTAGGTGTTTTATCCAAAAGGTAAATAAATAATGCTAAATTTGTCCCCTAGTAAAGTGGGTATCTTTTGGGTATCAATATTCAGATGGAAACTTTACGCATTCTTCTGGCGTGCTCTGCTCAGAAGGGCCCCTGTGGAGTAGTTATATACTGAAACACTGTGCATAGGAGTCATCTTCATGGCTGATCCAAGTTTGTCAGGTTCGATTACCATGCACTCAGACTGAAAAGAGATGATTTCTTTCTGGTACCTGTGTGTCTGCAGGAGATGGGGAGAGATTGGAGAGAGATTTCTCCAGAAGCTGTTTTGTCTATTAGAAGAATGCCATGCCAGAAGCGTTAGTGAGCCAAACTAGGGTTTTCTTTGTTTTTTGTTGGCTCTCATGTTAAGGTTAAATAGACCAATAATAGCGTTGGATGGCCTATATTTTTTTTTAACTGCAAATTTGCAGATTTTGTGTGTAGGTTGGTCAGAGGATGGTGCGTGGGTGAGGAGAGAGGGAGCGGGTTGTCTGATCTTGCTTTTGTTTGTTGACTGGACATAAACATGCTGGTAATTTGAGCATTAGTTTTCTGTTTTTCCATTGAAGGCCTGGACCCTTTGGTGGAAGGAAAAAAATTAAGAACAAAAGTCTCATTTGAAACAAATCCTATCCATAGTATTATTTTTTTCCTATCCAAGCAATGCATAAAAAAACAATAAGGTCATGGCATGTTTGTCCATTACTTTTTAGCACTGTATTCATTAGTTTAGGGGACAGAACTTTTGTGTCCCTTATCTTGGTTGCCACAATTCTTAGCTGATAAGTTGTTGTTTTGTTGTTTGTTTGTTTTTTCCATTTATTTTTGTTCTAAGACCCGAGTGACTTAGAGGAAAAATCATATTTTCTTGTCATTTCTCTAAGACATAAAACATGCTTAACATTATTCACGTTATTTTAACCTACACAACTTCAGAGTGGCCCTTCATTTTGCCCATTACTCCTATGTCAAAACACCATGACATTGTTGAAAAGTTGAAGGGCGGTATTGGTATCCTCCCTCGCTGCTTCCCCCTCCCCAGCCCCACCCTAAAATGTCCTGATTCTTGACTGATATTTGCATATCTAGGAGGAGGACAAAAGAAAGGCACTGAAAGTAGAGGTAGGGTGGGGAAAAGGAATCCATGAGGACAGGGAGGGTTCTCAGAGCAGCCGGAGGAAAGACAAGGAGGGCTGTGGCATCTGTCATCTGTAGGCTGGTTCTGTCGCAGGTGCTTCTGGATACCCTCCCCAACACACACACACACACACACACACACACACACACACACACACACACACACACACACACAACTCCTGTGAGAACCCTTGTTTCCAAAGAGCTCTTTTGAAGTATCTTTCATTTGCTTGATTTCATATCCTTTTCTTTTGTAGGGTCAAGACACCTGAGCATGGCTACGAGCAGCAGAAACAGCGATTTTGTGATTCTCAGCAATGGCAGCACCCCAGCCAGCGCTGCCAACCCCAGTCCCCTCACCTCCTGTGACGGAGACCCTGCAGCCCAGCCGCTCACACCCAAAGAAGCACCAAGAGCAAAAGTGAGTCCCAATGGATGCCTGCAAGTTAATGGCACAGTGAAGTCATCCTTCCTGCCTTTAGACAACCAAAGAGCGCCTCAGATGTTACCCCAGTGCTGCCATCCCTGCCCATACCATCATCACCCTTTGACCAGCCCTCACGGTCACGGTCACCAGGAGTGCCATGCCGAGGCTGGCTCTGCGTCACCTCCTGCTTTGGCCCCGTGCTGCATGCAGCCACCCTCGGAGTACTCTGCCTCCCTCTGTCCGCACCACGCACCTGTTTATCAGACCACATGCTGTCTGCAGCCCTCTCCATCCTTCTGCCTGCATCACCCGTGGCCCGACCATTTTCAGCACCAGCCTGTGCAGCAGCACATAGCCACCCTAAGGTGAGTGGTCTGCAGGTTCGGCGAGCCTTTAGCATGCGTAATTCCACGGGAGTGGGACTGCTTGTGTTGATTTCCCCAAAAGGAGAGAAAAATGTGTCAGAGAAAGAAAACCAGTGAAAATGCCGATTTTTTGGACTGTAGAAAGCCTACTAAAATGCATGTGAAATAATAGTATATCTGTTTTATCCATTGTCTTCTTAGTCAAGTAAACCCTCCTCCTTCCCTGTCTGGTCGGTGTTCCTGCTAGGTCTTGAGTTACAAAGTTAAGTAAAAGTTTTTCTTGTTAGTAATTTCTGTTATTAAACATGGGGGATCTATTTATGATGAGGCTGCCAAAACAGGAGTCTTTTATTTTCTGTTATTGAAAGTGATCAACCTTTATGGGGGGGAAAGAAAGTTGCTTCCTTACTCTTCCTTAGATCTGTACTCACAATTTCTATTCATGTGGTTTGGGTAACGTCGCAATATGTTGAGATCAGATGAAAGCAACAATTGCTTTCACGGCAGATGAAATCTGTAGCATAGGACTATAAAAAATATTTTTTTGTAAAGAATTTTCAGACGTGGTAGATTGAAAAGTACTAGAAAAATCTCTACCGTTTCCAGTTCTCCTTCCCATCTCAGCCCATAGTTTCTCTTATGCTTTTCAGCTATTTTTTTTCCACGGGTAAGTTAAGTCACATATACTGCAGGTGAGCGCCGGTAATATACTTTATAAAATACTAAGTATTCTATAAACACTAAGTATTATTTCACAGTTTTAGGTAATAAAAAGTTTTAAAAGAGCTAGAAGAGAGCATTCTCTTATTAAAATTGCTATAATTTACATATAGGGAAATGCACGTATCTTACGTCTACAGTTTGATCAGTTTCAACAAATACATACGCCAGTGTAATCCATGCCTTGGTCCAATGTAAGACATTTCTGTCACCCCAGAAAGTCACCTCCTGTCGCTCCTTAGTCATTCCTTCTCTCCTCACAGAAGTAATCACTGCTTCTGTTGAATCATGCTGCTGTGAACATGGTTGTGCAAATATCTCTTTGACTCCCTGCTTTCATTTCTTCTGGGTATGTACCCAGAATGTACTTCCTGGATCATATGGTAATTCTATGTTTAACCTTTTCGGGACCCACCAAACTGTTTCCACAGCTGCTGTACTATTTTACATTCCCACCAGCAGTGCACATCCATGCTTACACTTATTCTTTGGTGTGTTTTCTTGTGTGTTCATAATGGGCGTGACATTATAGATTTTTAAGCAGAAAAGAAACACTGTCAGGTTTGCATTTTAGATAAGCCCATAACCTGCCCCAAGGGGAGTAGATAGAACTGGGTCGGGACTGTTGGAGAGCGGAAGACTGTTAGAAGGTTCGTGGCAGTAATTCAGGTGAGAGGACGGCGACTTGAACTAGGATTTAGAGAGAATTTCATGCTAGACAAATTTACGAGGTAGAATCTACTAGATTTGGTGAACAATTGGACATGGGGGAGGATGGGAAGAAGAATCAGAACTGATTCTCAGTTCCCTGGCTTCAGCAACCGATGGGCAGGCAGTCGTGTCAACCACTGAAAGGGGGAGAACAGGAGAAGAGCTGTGAGCAGGCAGAGCCACAGCACTGAGCTTGGGGCGTAGGGGCAGTACCAGTGAAGGTGATACCCTCTGAGCTTTCTGGAAAGAATGAGGATGCTGGGTAGTACGTGACAATTACATTGAGGATAACAATACTGTAAGGAGGTTTCCTTAGCATGAATACTGATGTGTTTAGACTCAGCCCAGGGTGTCTCTGTCCAGAACTGTGCTATGGGCAAGTCACTGAGCCAGGCGTTGTGTCTCTCTCACCAGTAAGATACCCACAGAAGCAAATGCGGACGTGGATATCGCCCCTGGGTACGGGAGAGCACGGCACTTTGGGGTAGTCTACACAGGGTGCCCTCACTAAGAAATTCTGAAAATGAGGATGGCCTATGGTGCTTTACTGCCTTTTAGTAGTTCTTCTACCCAACACTTTTAGGAAAGTTATTAGAACAAAGGGTCTAGAGGCTGATCTCTACCAGCAACTGTCTCTAAATCTTTTTCATTTCCTTTCGTGATTTACTGCCTGTTGCTTTTTTTTTTTTTAAGCTGAGCCATCCTGCCACCTGTTGGCAGCTCAGCGGCTGCTCAGCTTGGGCTGGGCATCGAACCACTGTTGCTCAGAGCTCACACTCTTGTGCAAGCTATTAACCAACTGAGCCACTCGGCCGGCCCACCTGTTGCTTTTTAAATTGATAATCTCAAACACTTAATGAAGTATTATTCAATTAATGTTGAAGATGTAATCATGATATGGTAGAGGTATATGGTGTTCACTTTGCTTTAAGGGTCGTAAAGATCGGCGGCCTTACGGTCAAATTGTGTACAGATGGCAGATTCTAGGAGCTCTTTGCACCTGCACCACAGATGGGCCTACCTGGCTGGTATTCTGTTTTATTTTTTAAAGTTTTTTGTTGTTGTTTATAAAGCACTTAACACCATAGAGAATGTTCTAAAGAGTCAATCAGATGGAAAATGTGATTTTATCCTAGCTCCTTGGCCACTGAGTTCCAGTTCTTCATACTCCCGTTTCTGTTTTTCCCCACCTTTGGTAACACGGTAGGTTTTCTTTCATCCCTTTTTGACTCTTTAAGCTATAAGAAATCTCTCTAAAAGATTCATTCTATCAGTCACCTGTGTGTGTGTTTTATTTTTTGGTTTTTGTTTTTGCTTTTTAAAATTCTATGTGAATCTTCTGATGGATAAAATTAAAGGTCATGGCAAGGATCACATGTAATATATGCTGTTTTAATTCCATTTATCACCAAATACTAAGTAGTTTAAATAGCTCTTATTTTAAAGCTTCTGGCTTTTTCACTTGTAGATCCCTGTCCTCATACCCATCACTCAGCCATTCATGAACATGACTAATTAGAACACTAAGGCATTCACAAAGGCAGAAAATAGCCTCTCCCCACAATGAGACAAGGCTTGTACCCACAAGCCCTAAACATAGCTGATCACCAGAGTCACCTGGGGAGTTGGAAAATGAAATAACTATGAAAATAATCAGGACAAGTTTCTTTTGCAATAGAAACAATGAAGAACTCTAGGAGTTCAGAGGTGGGCAAGGTCCCTGTAGGTGAATGAGGTTCTGGACAGTCTACCTGAGAAGAGAGAACTTGAACTTGATTGAGTGACCCTTGAAAGATGACCAGGACATGATCAAGGACTGGAGGCGGCTGAACGTGGAAGGTGGGGGGAGAGTTGCAAGGGGAAAGCCTGTGAAACCAAAAGTATGTTTAAGGAGGAGTGCAGAGAACAGGATGGCCAGAGTGAAGGGGTCCTTTGGATGGGTACGAGCCGTAGCTTTTCCCCAGCTCTCCATCCTGAACACAGGCCAGTTGTCTAAGAGGCCGCGTGGTAATGATCTGCTCTTGATCCTACAGAGATCTGGAAAATGTCTCTCAGGAGCCAATCACATTCTGTGTGTGCTGCTTGAAGCAAACTATTCATTTGGGATCTTCTTACTGCCATATTAAAGGGAAAGGGTAATGGTTTATGACAATTAATAAGGAGTTCTGCATCCAAAAATAGCATACAAAATTTCTAATCCAAACTGTACTTACCTTTTAATTTGGTGTTGCAAAGAAATGTGCTTGATTGTAGCAGAGGACTTCGTAAATGATACTTGGCAGCGCCACAGACTCATTATCATGGCAAGGAACCTGTGATAGTTTTGGGTACCTGCCAAATGCATTTTTATTTCCCTGAAGGTGATCTCGTAGACAGATGGTCACTTTGAATGTTCCCTGTGGCACCCTGGAGGAATTACAGCTGTACAGTCAGGAAGGCTTGGCACAGAGGGGACCAGGGAACCCTAGCATTAGCTCAGCCCCTTAAAGGTTGAATAAACATTGCCCCTGCCTCCCCGTACATTGTGACTGTATAATTTTTTATAACCTAAATTTCCTTTCTCCTTCGGTTCTGTATTTTCCAATTTCTGACTTATTTTTATCAGAGGTTTTCTTTTTGTTTCCCCACAGGACACTAGTTACGTTCTGTGAAGGGAACTCTTTTTTTCTTAAAAAGTAAGAAATGAGAACTCTTGTCTCATGTTATAAGAGAACCTACCACTTGAAATCTTATTCTTTTATATGCGTTGTGTCATCATGTCCAGGGGGTCAAGTTATAGCTCTGAGCATCATTTTCCAAAGTGTCTTGCTCTGCTGCATCTGGCCTGCAGTGATCCACCCTTTCCTCTTCCCTAAGCCCTGATGATGCTGTTATTGTGTTTAGCTAGGAAATTTGAACCAAAAACCACTTTGAACACCTCATTAGCAGTGTAGCATAAATGTGGGCATGGACACAGAAGCCAGAGCCTCTCTCTTGCCCAAGTCACCAGACTCAACCCAAACAACTTTTCTAAGATGCTGGAGCAATGAATGGAGAAATTCAAGGTTAGTCACTCACTTACTTAGCAAGTATTTAATGAGCACTTACTAAGTGTTAAGTGCTGGCAACAGAGGTGGAAACTGTGAGCATGGTCTCCAACGTCAACGTGGTGGCGGTCATGTGGACAGTAAGACATTTGAATTCAGCCTGAGCCTGCCACAGGCATTGTCTTCTTTGACCAGCAAACATGGCAGCAGAGCTGCTGTGTTCTCTGGAGCACAGAAGTTAAATATCAGTGCCAGGTTTATATATTAATACAGAAAGAGAGCCAGATTGTGGTTTTATAAATTTGTTTCCCTCTTTTCGTCCCTTACCACGGAAAGGTTACTAATAGCTAAATAATCATTTGTCTTTATTTATTGCTGTAAATGGTAGCCTGTCTAGGACTCTGCGACAGGTGTCTTTTGCAAGAAGAGATGGTTAAACTGCATCCTTTAGACCTGCTGTTCAGTGGGGCCCAGTAAAATTAAAAATTCAGTTCTTCAGTCACAGTAGGCACCTTTCAGGGGCCCAGTCACCACATTTGACTA